ATTTAAACCTTTGTATTGTACCGCAAACACAATCAAAAGTAGAGAGAGAGAGAGAGAGAGAGAATTAGAAAGCAAAAAATTGGGCTAAAACTGTTAATAATATGGTTAAGTACTAACATTACTAACATTAAGTAGTTTAATAATTATTAGACACAATGATCTTAAATATAGGATTGCCATACGGTTTGCGGCACTGGAGAAGTGGATATGGTGAACAAGTTAACATTACATAAAACAACCGCCAGGGCAAACAGATACATAAATTAACTAAACTATTGACATCTAACTATTTGAATTGGCATTTATTATAATTGGTAAACAAATTAATTAAACCATAAATTAAATTCTAATTGCTTTTTGTATTAATGTTTGATTGGAAGCACATATGCAATAAATGGCGGCCAAACATTGTCGTCAGTCTCGACAACTCGTTTAGTATCGGCACTAAACTCGTTGACTGACAACAACTGTGTCCACAAGGGGTCAAATGCACTAATCATATGCACTCTCGATGTCCAGAGCCTTACGAATATGCTGTGCGATAGGGAGGCTAACCCGGAGAGGGTCAATTGTGGTCATATATATAAACATGTAATATAAGTAATAATTTTGAGAATTATCGCATAATATTAGATGAGTACTAATTTAGTACTACTAAACCTTGATGCTCTAATGTTAAATACTTTTAAAGTACTATAAATACTAAACAAATAAGTTGTAGTTATCACCATAATAATAAGTAATTATTAACAATTATGTTTCATTTATTCTGAAAAATGACCCAGGTTCAAATAGCAAAATATGGGTGGTGATATGTGCCGGTTCAGGCTTAACTATTTTGTTCAGGTAAGACAACACGTTAATAAATTAAGCCAAATTTTAATTTAGCTTTATATATCATAATTATTAATTACCCATTCGGCCGACATAGACCACGCGTACTAATTGGTCCGATCGCAAGGTATTTGCGATGAAAATATAATTGTAATGCACATCAATTATGTAGATTACAATTCGTCCAACCCTACCCCTGGCATTGTTGTTAACCATGATCATTCTATCAATGTTAACAACAGATGGTAAAACACTATATTGGTGTTGATGTCACATAAAGGTACTTGGGCAATAATAAAATTAAATGTTCTAATATTGTCACATCAAAATAAATTAGACAGTTAATTTTACTGTTTTAAGACACTTAACCACCGAAAGTATCAACTAATTTATTGGTCTCGCACTCAGAGGACACCTGTCCACCTGAGGTGTGCCTTGAGTACTTGTCGATTAAGCCATTATTACAGTATTACACTTATATAAGGTCTGTTTCTAACATACCCTGGATATAGCTTGTTACACCCTTGGCACTATCTTTATTGACCCTGTTTTCTCATAGCATTCCCAGTATTAATTAATACAATTAAACATTTGATATAATGAAAATTTTGCTAAAATTATAATAATCTATATATTATATAAACTAGAAATTTACTAAACTTTGCCATACATGTATAAGCAAAGCTAAACTCAATAAAACTAGATTTTATAATTAAATCAATTTAACTAATATATTGAAGTGTTTATAGCAAATATAATTTATTTATTAAATGAAATTTTAGTAAAATGTGGTCCAAACTATCCGTAAAATGTTGTCTAACGAATGCATTACTATAGACAGAAAAAAGTGCGTTTTGGTGCTTTCTTTACAGAAAAACTTAACTTTAGATAAAGTAATGTTTGGCTCATTGTATTGAAAACAACTTTAATATTTGTAAAAATGAATTAGAAAATTGCTTTTTTCTGTGAAGAAAGCACCAAAACGCACTTTATTTCTGTCTATATGCATTACTATTGTGTGGATTAATATACCAAACTTACAAAATAAGTTACATATACTTCTCATACAAAACCACAACAACCATAAACAGAGAGTCGCCGTCAGAGCTGTATTCGCCGGGACTCACCATTTGCACGAAAATAAGTCCAATTATAACATCTATTATACCCACGAATGACACAATCGATATGAGAGTAATGCCTAATTATAGAATTAATGAACTAATTGACATCTTTGGCAATTATAACATCTATACTTGCAACTATAAAAACTTGGGCATAAAAAAGCCATGCAACAATCTAGCACTTATTCGGGTAAACCTAAATTTAAACTGGCAGGGCGAAAATATTATGTGTTGGACACTGTTCTCGCAATGGGCGGGCGAGTCGGACACCCACTATAAATTAGACACCAGGGACAATTCAAACAGACTATTGAAGTTTGAATTTACTAATGTTAAATTAATTGCCGATATGGTATATGTAAATTTTCATTCCCGGTGGGATCGGTTGCGACGATTTCCATGGAAACAAATGCTAAGAATACCGCTTGGTGAAATTACACGCGCCGAGATTAAGTATCACAAATCTACTGTTATGTTAAAATATAAATTAAATGACAACAAATGTGTTACGAAACAAAGTATTATTAAATACGTCGACGAATGTTATGTTAAGCAATATTATCAAAAGTATACTGTATTCCCTTTAGAGTACATTTACTTTCCAGATATTGATAAAAGCAATCGTACGGCAAGTCATGGACTTTGATGAAGACAAAGACATTGAGAAACACTGTATTAATAAATACAGGGACCCAATAGAGTGTATACAACACTACCACTCATTTTATTACGAATTTGATAAACGAATTCACGGCAAAAATAATACATTAGATATAATTTTTCAAATACCGTCAGAACCCGATATGATGTACGAAATATAACTAAAAATGCCATTTGAAGAGTACATGTTGTTTATGGGATCACTTCTGGGCCTATGGTTTGGTATATCTGCGCTTATGTTCACTAATCTATGTATAGAATTGTTGAGCAAATTAAAGCCTTATATCTGGAATAATAGCAAGATTATTATTAAGCAACAAATAAACCATACAAACAATACAAATCAATTATTCACTATAAAAAAGGCTAGAACTTGGTGTCAATCGTCAATTGACAACATAAATAAAAATTTAGATATAAATTAGCTTATTTTTTATCCATGTTTGAATACTAAATATTTGTTTACAAAAAACAAACTAATTAAACAGTCTATGACATTTGCTTGAAATACATTTTTAAAAACAATTAATTTAAGTTAAATAATAATAAAGCAAACATTAATTAATATATAAATCTATTTGTTCAACTAGCAACTATAAACTTAAATAGTATTATTATAATTAATTTTTGTTAATAAAATGCCAAAACAATAAATAATTAGACTTTTATATGTTAAATTTGTAATTCAATATTGTATTGATTAATTAAAATATTTACACAAACTGTATTAATTGTCAAATTCAACATTTATATCTGTATGTGATTAGTGTTGTGATATTAGAATTAAGAAAATTTAGGCTAGATAAAATAATAAATGAATTCTTATGAATTTCTACAAAAATCAAATTTATCTTATTGATAAAATTACACGCGCTGTATAACAATTCAAGTTAAGTGTTTCAACATTTACTTTATTGTTCTAAATGATTATCTAACTTTACATTTTAAATTTCTATTTTACCAGATTAAATTAACTCATGTTGAATGTTATTGTATATAATAATATATAGATAAAATAAATGTATATTGCCAGCATTTTGCATTAGTTGGTTTAAGAAAATACAATTTATTTAAATATAAAATTACAATATCAATTTATCCGGAATTTACTGTCGTTTCTAATTTTTGTCTTAAATTTATTTTACATATTTTTTATTAAATTTATAACATTTAAAATATTAGACAACATTATCTAAAATTTTAAGATTTTGAGAATACAAGAATAATTATTAATGCGGTTTAAATAGAAATAGCTTAAGACAATTAAGTAACTAATAACAAATGTATATAAATATTATTGTACAAATTAAACTGAACTTTTATTAACTGTACTAAATACTGATAGATATAAAATGTTACTATTTTCCAAGAAAATAAAATTTGAATTAGAAAAGCAAATTGATAAAATATTACTTTTATATCAGCATGGAAGTTTAGTACATTGGGCTTATATTGATATTTATTGCAAACATACCAGTTTAAATTGTGCAAGGTATACCAAACTATACTAAAACTTATAAACTATAAATAGTTTAAAATATTAATTTCATTTTTATAATATTTTCATTAATAACACAAATAAATATAATGAAACTAACATTAGTATTATTAGTCACGTATTTAGTGGTCTGTAATGGACTGCCATTTGCCGATCAATTGGCCGCCAATAATGTGGACAATAGCCATAAATGGGTCGTATTGTGCGCCGGGAGTAACGGTTGGGAGAATTATGCCGATCAGGTAATATTAACCCTTAAAATAAATTAATTGCATTATTATAATTTTAGTCATTTTTAACCAATATTATTTAGGCATTAGTATACCGGGCATATCATTTGTTCCGCTCGTATGGCATACCGGAGAGCAATATAATTGTCATGCATTACGACGATATCGCACATCACAGCAAAAACCCTAACCCAGGAGTTGTCATAAACGAAATCGGTGGTAAAAATCTGTACCATAATATTCCCAAAGATTATGTTGGCACCGAAGTTAACCCTACGGTATAGTTTAATTAAATTATTAATTAAATATTCATTATATTTATAATTAAATTCTATGTAGAACTTTTTGGGAGCAATTAGTGGTGACCCAGAGTTAGTGAAGAGAGGCAAGAAAGTGGTTAAAAGTGGGCCAAACGACAACGTGTTTGTGTATTTTGGCGATCATGGTTCACCTGGTAATATAAAATTTATTTAAAAATTAATATATTATTTTATCATTTTCAATATTTATCTTACAATATTAAAGGTATGGTTGAATTTAACCATGGCAAAGTTTTATACGCTACTGATTTAATCAAAACATTACAGAATATACATCTGATGAAAAAATACGCCAAGCTCGTTTTCTACATTGATACGTGTAGTTCAGGTAAATATATTTTATATTCCAATTATTTTACTAAAATATTTATAATAAATAAAAATTTTAAAAGGTTTATCTCAATTTATCATTTTAAAAATTCATTTACCAGGCTCAATGTTCAATAAAGTATTACCTGATAACATAAATGTGTACGCGGTCACATCATCACTTCCAGATGAAACTAGCAACTTTTTAACGTACGATGCCAAACTGAAAACATATATAAGTATGATAAATTAATTACACACTGCATATTATAATTGACAAATAAACATTTTACCAGGCTCGTTTTTTGCAAACAATTGGCTCGTAAATGATGAGACTTATGATCTGGAAAATGAGACATTTGATGAACAATCAAAGTATTTAGCCGATTGGGTCCAAGTTGGTGAAGATTATCAACATGCACAACATTATGGCAATTTTAGCCTAGGTCAATTACATATTGCTGAATTTTTAGGTCATAAACAAAAAAGATTGTTAAATGTCACTGATAATAAACACATTCAAAATAATGAAACCGTTAGCAAATGGGATGTGGCACTAAATTTATTGGAAAAACGTATTAACACTACCAGCGATGATAACGAAAAATTAGGGTAATTCAACATATTTATGTGAATTTTAAAATATATTTAATTATTTTATAAAAACATAAATTTTGTTAATTTTGACAGTCATGTGAATAAAATGGTGAGACTGTTAAATGGCAGACAATATGTTGATAAACACATTATTGATTACGTGAATAGTATTCAACACTTACTGATAGTCGATAGTACATATCTTGCAAAACTATAGATTTTGACATGCGTTTATTTAATCCGTGTCATTACCGTTATTACTGATCGAATATTATTGATCTTTATATCAAATTAAACCTAACATGATACTGTTTTCAACAATATATAACTTGATATAAATACTAATTAATTAATTTGTTAATTCTAGTAAATAAATTTACCTAATTGTAAATATAGATCAAATTGTATTCAAGGGTCAGTTTTGGTCAATTTATTACCAAATACTGATATTTGATTCAAAAAACACAAGCAAATACATTATTCTGTTAATTCTAGTAAATAAATTTACCTAATTGTAAATATAGATCAAATTGTATTTAAGGGTCAGTTTTAGTCAATTTATTATCAAATACTGATATTTGATTCAAAAAACACAAGCAAATACATTATTCTTGAGTATTAGATGATTGACAATTAGATTAGGTAACAAAAATCGGGCCTGGTCACATTTAAATGTATTTAAATAATTCCGATAACTTACGCTTGAATTCACATCGATATGAAAATAGATTGAATGCATACTAATAATTAAGAGGCCCTCATAAAAGTTTGATGCTGGGCATCATGATTTTAGACAGGTGACCAGTTGTGTATATTATAAATAAATATTAATGATTAATTAAGAGTATATATCTATAATTCTGTATTAACGGAGTTTAAAATCAGGGAAATATTATTTAGAACAAATAATTATTCGACTTCTTCGACAATCTATAGTTTTGCAAGATATGTAATGTCATATTAAATGCAAAATTAGAACTCAATGACAGACAATGTTATCGAAAATTTGCGGACACTTTCAATGAAAATTGCTTTGATTTGACACAAGTATTTAAACAAAAAATTAATTTGTCTATTTTATAAAAATATATTGTATTAATTATAGGATACTTATGTTTTACGCAAATTACAAGTATTTGTGAATATTTGTGAAACAATGCGTGAATCGAGTGATGCGGACATCGCTGTCAACCAATTGATACAACACTGCAGTCAATACACTGACAATGAATTTGGATATATTTTATAAATATAACATTATGATTATTATTAAGACACAAAATTAAAAACAAAATTATGCTAAAACATTATGTTATAATATGATAATTTCTATTAGATTATTTTATTCCTGTATTTTAATTATTATGTAATTATTAATACAAACTTAATAAATCTATTTTGCAAAACGTATTTTATTGTAAAATTTTTCAAATACAGTGCAACCTCTCCATAAGAAACGGGCAGATGCATAGCCAAAGTGTTTCTTATAGAGAGGGTTTCTTCAAGGGAGGTTCGAGTAAAAATGTCTAATTTTTAATTAATTTTTGAAAGATTNACCAAGAAGTGGCAATTTTACCCGAACTCCCGATACCGAATGCATTAACAAATTTAACCTATTTTAGTTTTTACTCATTAGAATTAGTAAATTATCTCACAAAAATAATTCATCAGTTTTATGTAATGTATTATTTACCAACTAATGATATGAACTGTTTAAAAAATAAATACCGATTGATTTTGACCACAAAGACCGCACCCGAACGGGCCGACCCGGAAAAGTGGGTAATCATGTGCCAAATTATCGGGATGTGTTCAATTCATTACTTCCATATATGGATTTGTTGGTCAATATATGCTTTCAATGGGCAACAAGTTATGACCATTTAAATCAATTACCGTGGTGTCCAGAGCCAATAATTTGACACATACTCAAAATATGGCTATTTTTGGCTTATTTTTAGACCACGTTTTACGAAAATCACCCGAAAAAAATTAGAGGACTTCGGGTCATAAATCTCTCCACACCCACCATATACTCCAGTTATCCCACTATCACATGACTGTTAATACCATTCTCTCGTGTCATGTTTTAGGGGTGCAAAATGCTAAACAAAAGTAGTGGTCGAAACAGACACCACTCACTTCTTTGACTCTCAGGGCAGCCATTTTTATTGGGAATCAAATGAAAATTTGTCAGAATGATAACCAATAGTTGCCGATAATAATAGCCATTTTATAATTTGAATTAATTTTGTTTATCACAATAATAATTAATTTTCTATTTTCTATTAAATCTGTCCGGTTTTTATCCGGTTAAGCCAATATATATTAATACTATTAATATCTTGGTGAATCAATAACCACGTAATTATAGAACCCCCCCCCCAATCGCATTACTCTGCTGGGTATATTTAATATTATAAAAACATCAAAAACATGATTTAAAAATTGGAAAATGTCATGTACTTCACACATTTCAATTTTAACTGCTATTACAATAATGACTAAATTCTTAAAATATAAAATATTCAACATTTCTAATGTACAATTTTCAGAATTTTTGCTGAATTTTTTCAGAATCCTACACTATTTTTGCTCAGACCCATTTATTATCTCAAAATTAAAGGATTTATTAAAATTTAGATAAATATTAGTAACTATTAATTAACATAATTTCTGAAAAGATTTTTGCAAGTTTTGTTTGCAGCATTGTTTGGATTACATATACTGTATATACAATCAGTTATTTCTAAACACTAACTTAGGTTTTAATATAATTTAAAACAAATATGATTTATAATAAAATTATAATAAACCCTATTTGCACTCTTCCAACAAGACCAATGGATTTTATATACTAATGGTATAAATTAGGCCATATACCATCAAGGTGAATGTTCTTATGGTTATCTTGAGTAAAACTTACAGACCTATAATTTATTGTTTAATTAAAATTTAAGTTTACATAATAATAATTCAATAAAAAGTTACCATTTTCACTTATAATTACAATTTAACTCGTTATTTCGTAACACATTTAGATGTTTTGTCCGAAAATCGATGTCCTCAAATTTCAAGTGAAATTTATTTTTTTTATAGACGTTGTTAATTTTTTAAAATGATAAAGTCCTCCTTAGGTTTGAAGTCGACTGTAATATTTTACTCACATTAATTAATTGACTTTTAATTAATCGCGATATTGTAAAATTATTGATCAGCCAATACTTATCACTAGTTTAAAACTCTTATTTAAATTAATTGTAACACGAATTTCAATAGGACCACATGTTACATGTTACAAAAGATCTAAATGTTTGTTACTATATGTGTTTTATCATGTTTATTGTGACCAAGGTGTAAGTGGGCCGATTGGACCAATTGGACTGACCGGTGCCGAAGGAAAGGCAGGCGACAAAGGAGAACACGGTTTGACCGGTCCTTCCGGTCCGAAAGGAGTGGATTGTGTTTCAGGAAATGGCGGCCCAAACGGACCTAAAGGTAATTACACTCACTTTCATTAGTCAATATTTAAATTTATGAGATTTAATATATAGGGGACAGTGGTATAGATGGACCTCCCGGTCCCCCCGGAGAACGGGTATCCAAAATATGAAATATTATATAAAGCAACTCAATGTAGAGTTATGTTCATTGTATCAAATCACAGGGTCTTCCCGGACCTGAAGGAAGCCATGGAATTGCAGGACAATTAGGATTTCCAGGCGCTGATGGCATTCCTGGATTACCTGGAATTAAAGTTTAGTAAATTTGGAAATAATCACAATTTATCTACTAATCCATAACAATACTACATATCTTGCAAAACTATAGATTTCCGAAGAAGTCGAATAATTATTTTTTCTAAATAATATTTCGGACTAAAATTTGAGGCAATTATAAAATTAATTAGTAATTATAAATAAATATTATATGTGTTGACCAGTGGACAAATTTTAGTACTACGGGTCGTAGTTTGAAAATACAGGGCCTCGTAATTATTAGTATGCATTCAATCTATTTTCATATCGATGTCAATTCAAGCGTAAGTTATCGGAATTATTTAAATACATTTAAATGTGACCAGGCCCGATTTTTGTTACCTAATCTAATTGTCAATCATCTGATACTCAAGAATAATGTATTTGCTTGTGTTTTTTGCATCAAATATCAGTATTTGGTAATAAATTGACCAAAACTGACCCTTGAATACAATTTGAGCTATATTTACAATTAGGTAAATTTATTTACTAGAATTAACCAATCAATTAATTAGTATTTATATCAAGTTATATATTGTTGGAAACAGTATCATGTTAGGTTTAATTTGATATAAAGATCAATGATATTCGATCAATAATAAAGGTAATGACACGGATTAAATAAACGCATGTCAAAATCTATAGTTTTGCAAGATATGTATTTGTATAGATTACCGGTATAAATAGGAATAACAGTATATAGTACAGTCTACGCCTGATATTAGCAATATGTATAGTTTGACAGGTACTGTATTAATAGGCATAACACAGTCAATGGTTACTCATTTAAATTGACATTTGACTCATCAGTCAATAGGAAATAAAATGCACTGAAGTGAAACATCAATAAAATGCAAACACATTGAGTGACCACTTATTAGTGAATTTTAATTTTGAGAAATAAAATTATTTAAATTTATTTACGGGCAATAAATAAGTTACAGTACTAATACAATAGACAAATTGTAGTACTCGCTGTACTTTCCATAATACACTCTATCTATTGGTAAAATGTTATACACTGCAGCTAACCTACCAAACGGTATATATCAAGCGATATAGATCAAATTGTGAAATTCGTTTTATAATTTAAGTTGACATTCTTAGGCACCTGAATCCAAGTTTCATCAAGATCAAATGAATAGTCTTTGAACAGGACTTTTCAAAAGTATGTCAGTTGGAAGTGTTTATATTTAAACAAACTTATATAAAAATATTTGACTAAAAATTATCTTATTTCAAAGTGAGAATATTTTTACAAAAGATATGTTTGAAGTGATTATTTGGATTCACTATTAGTTACCCGACAATAGCTTAGTGTAGATGTCTTTTCGGATCAATTGCCGATTTTTGTGTGAACACAGTTTGGGTACCGATCAATGCCCGGCCAATCAATAGCATATTGTTATGTGCACTCAATAATAAAGGTTTCAGAAGGGCAAAGGTTCTCAATTCTCTCTATTAGTATTTGAGCATGATCAATTTAACTATTATTCCAATACAAAAACAGACACCCTCCCATCGAAATACATAAAATGAGTCATACTTTGAAAAAGTGTGTTCAAAAACAATTGGTTCGATTTTGATGAAACTTGGATTCAGGTGCTGGGAATGTCGACTTGAATTATTCTGTTACCTGGATTGACAGTTACGCTACCAATATATCATTTGTATCCGAATTAATACAATAAGCACTCAACACGTGTAGTGTCATGTGTTGAGTGATCATTGGAGTACAAAAATTACCGCAAAAGTTTAAGACCACAATTAACCGTCACTTTACCGTAACATTAATATTTTGACCCAACAGTTAGAAATATTGCCAGGTGAAATTAGGAACTTTGGCAAAAACATGCATGTTCAATTTCATTTATAGTTTGTAGAAGAAATATAAGCTTAATTTATAAGGTTTAGAAGTGATAATAAAGTAAAACTTTATGTAAGTAGTATATTTCCACAAAATCATGTTTGAACTTGATGTGGCATAGTATCACCGGTAAAATAATGTCATTTTGTACGGTAATATACATTATGTGTGAACACTCAAAGATTGGAAGTAAAATCTTGTGGTCATTCAGAGGTTGTGATCTGTAATGAAATTATTAATTTATTAAAGGGTGAGCCGGGACTTAATGGAATTGATGGCGATACAGGAGGACCCGGGCCACCTGGCATTGTTGGCATACAAGGAAAGCAGGTAACATCATATAATACGTTTCACTATTTCTCCACAAATGTATATAAAGTCAAATACTGTAATTAAAGTTATTTAACGTAAGTAATTACTTTAATTTATAGTACTGTAATACATTTAATGTAAATTTAGTTAATGTTTTTGTATATAGAGTTAATGTTTTTGCTTTAGATGATATATTTACTGTTATACTGTACAGATAGACTGACCAGATGTCCTAGAATGATCTGGATTGTCCCAAAATTAGATGATTTGGCCAGAATTTTTTACATACTTTTAACATTAAGTCAATGAAAGCGTCCAAGATAAATTAGCTAAAATTAAAAAATGTCTAGGAATTCAGAAATATAAGCCTGAGATTTGCCCAATATCCAGAATAAATAATTTGATAATTTTAAAATGTAGTAAATTGCAAATAATTAGATAGGGTCATCCAATAGTTATCATTTCACTAAATTATGATCTATGTACAAATTAAATAATTATACAATATGTAATATTATCAGTCAATTCTGTAGACAATTACTGGATTTGTGTTGCATTGTATCACAAACAATACCGTATTATGTATAATTAGGGCATAACTGGATTACCTGGAAAACCTGGAGTTGATGGTCCCCCTGGACCTAAAGGAGATGTCGGTTCATTAGGTATCCATTTTAAATAATAAAATATATAATTATAATTATTAATAAAATATAATATAACAATAATACATAATATAAGGTATAAAGGGAGACGGGGGAGTAGCCGGTGAAATTGGCCAACAAGGCTTACCAGGGGTGACGGGTCCGCCCGGAAGTGTTGGACTTATTGGTCTTAAAGGAATGATAGGAATGGTAACATTTATTTTAACAATATTTTATTTGTTACATTTTAAAGTTGTAACAAATAATCCTGATTTAGTCAATTTTTCACTAATACATAATTAGCGTCAATACTATTTTAAATGTACTTAATGCTGTCTAATGTCACATTGTACTATTTTACAAGTTGTCTAAATTCACACAATCCTAGTAATCCCATCGTGGGGTATATGATTTAGGGCTTAATTTCACATGTGTATATTTTCTAATTTCACACATAAATCGTTATTATTAACATAATGTACAGATCTGTATATAGGATCATCACTTATAATTTCACATTTCAGTGAAAACAAATTTTCCTCTTTTTGGTACATTTTAAAATATTATGTAAATGATAATGAGTGGCAGACAATTGGTAATATGTTCTTTTTATAAGATGGTCAAAATTTAACTATAAAACGGAAAATTAAATTATATAGCAAAACCTAACTTATAGTCTATAATGGAAAATGACATGTAAATTTATCCCTATATTTTCACATTTTATAATTTCTCACCCGGAAATTACAGTCCTAATTGTGTGAAATTGAACAGAACCAAGTTTACTAGATAATAATAATATTAACATAGGCTTAATTCATCTGCTGATTATACAATTATGCCGACAATTATAACAAATTAATAAAACACGAAGAATTAAAACTGTGCCTTATTTTTAACAAATTGTAATCAAACAATTAAATTAAAGTTGGAAATAATATTTAATATGAGTAACTGAATGAATATAGAATGGAGAACCAGGTTTGCCGGGACCACAGGGCATACCCGGTCAACAAGGATTGACAGGAATACAAGGCATTGGCGGCGAAAGGGGTGACTCCGGCCAACCCGGGCCTAAAGGACATCGAGGGTTGATGGGTAGGGCTGGCAAAAAGGTATGACAACAAAGTTTGTCTCACAATAAATAAAGCGATGTTATTATAATAGGGAGATATTGGAGAAAAAGGTGAGCCGGGAGTTAAAGGGGAGGGCGGACTCATTGGACCGAAAGGAGATACTGGACCGCCAGGAGCTGAAGGCAACGCACAAAACCAATTTTGTTGATTAATTGTATAAATTGTTATTTTGATAATGAAATAAATAGGAAGCGTTGGATCAGTTGGACAAGAGGGTCAACCAGGGGTGGAAGGCATGACTGGACAGAAAGGACAAAAAGGTAGTGATGGCCCCCCAGGCGAGAGAGGAGCAGCTGGCGATGGCGGTCCTCCCGGTAATTATATCACTCAATATATGTTACAAAATGTTTAATAAATGAATGAATGGTTAAATTGTTGTACTGTAGGTCCACCGGGAGAAGCGCCTCCCATTCCCATTGAAATGCTCGCTCACAACACACACTATACACACAACACACACAACGCATACAATTCTAATCCTTTCGTTAATCGACGAAAAAGAGAGACAGAAAGAAATGACTCGCCTTTGGATTTGAAGGAAACGATTGGTATTTCATATAATTTGATCAATACTTTTAAAGCATTAAATTTAATAATGATTTTAGACGTGAATACTGTTAGCAAAGAGGAGTTGAGGAATAAATTGATGACAGTTTACACGAGTATATATGCCATTAGAAAAGAGATTGATTTGATTGTAAGTCCCGAAGGAAGCAAACAGTTTCCAGCGAGAAATTGTCGAGACCTCTACTCTTCACATCCAACACTTCTCGACGGTTAGCCATTCAATGGTTCACTCATTATGTCTATAATTTGTCAAATATGTACTCAAGGCTGGTATTGGATTGATCCAAATCTTGGGGTCAATTCGGACGCGATTCACGTGTTTTGCAATATGACTGCCGGCGGACATACATGTGTGGCAGCAGACAAACTAACCTCAAATGTATTACATTTATAACAATTTAATACAGACCATAATAATTATGTTCATTTATTTAATTAACTGCTTTTAACTACTTTTCTCTCAGAAAGAGTTAATGAGTTATAAAAAAGAGAGAAATGAGCGCTGGTTTAGCTCTTTGAAGAATGGATACAAAATTACATACGAAGAGATGGGTTCAGTTCAGCTCACCTTTCTTAGATTGCTAAGCAAACGGGCCTATCAAACATTTACGTATCAATGTATCAATTCAGTAGCATGGTACTCTCAACAATCAAAATCATACGACTATTCTATTAAATTCTTGGGTCAAAATAATCAAGAATTTGGCTTTCGTTCAGTCATTAAACCTGAAATTCTTGACGACGGCTGCAAAGTATGTCAAGTATTAGCACAACATTTAAAACCAAATATATTTTATTCATTTTAGCAAAAGTTGTCGAATGAGAGCTCAACTCAATTCATGATACAAACAACAAAACCAATGCATTTACCAATTGTTGACTTTTGGCCCTCAGATTATGGACTATCCACACAACAATTTGGATATAACGTTGGACCAATATGCTTTCATTGAACTTGTACAATTTATTTAATAAAATTGTCATTATTAAAAACATTTTATCATTTATTTATAATAGTAATCCTTGTTATTAAACTAGGATGTAGAATATCTGTTATATTTACAAAAAATCACAAATGGATTAACAAAATATAAATTTAAACTTCGTCTTCTTCTTCTTCTTCTAGAAATAAGAATTTAAGTGTGCCGTTGCTGTTGCTGTTGCATTGGTTTTGTTGTTTGTATCATGAATTGAGTTGAGCTCTCATTCGACAACTTTTGCTAAAATGAATAAAATATATTTGGTTTTAAATGTTGTGCTAATATGTATTCAATAGCAAAGTAGTCGTCTCCCAAACCGTGTATATTTGGTGTGCATTTAATTACAATTGAAATGTTTGTATGCATTCACATGAGACCAGTCTTTTATATACAAAGTTATATAACTTTTTTTTTCTCTGTCCCCTAATTAGAGATCCCTATTATGTGGGCATTCATTTCGGTTATAGACAGTAGAGCTAACAGATCTGCCCATAGATTAGTGTTCATTAAAATTGTTGATTACGTTGAGACCAGACATGTGTGTCCACCGACAGACCCCACCATCCCATACACACATCACTCCTTTGAATACCTGTCCCACCATTTTATGTCATTATTCAAGCGATAATAAGATTTTCGAAATGTGTTTGCGTTTTTAACCCAATCTCTCTCTCTCTCTCTCTCTCTCTCTCTCTCTCTCTCTGTATATTTAAACGGCTGAGAAACCCATTGAATGCCTAAATAAATGTTGCTAATAAAGTCAGTTATTGCCCCCAACACTGCACTCTAGTCTCCAAAGCCAACATCCCATCGCACGTCTCCATCACCTGTCAGAGCACTCCTGTAACCCATCACTCGCTCGGGAATTACTATTTAACTGAAGAATATATACATTTGAATTGATAGATACAGAAGAGAGAGAGAGAGAGAGAGAGAGAGAGATTGTATGTTAGGAAACACAACAATAAACTTAGAAATTTAAAATGTGGAACAAATTATGCTAAACAATAGGCTGAACACATGCCCTATTCCTAAACTATTTAGATACACAATTATATAATATGTTGGACACACTATAATATTTTATATAACATTTTTTTGTGTAACAATTGCAGCAAGGTCACAGCGCATTACATCTGGCCTGTCAACAGGGCCACAATCAAAGCTGTCGTATACTACTCATCAATGGCTGCAAACCAGACATCAAGAATAATGTAAGTATTATTTCACATCATTTATATACCATTAATGTTATTATTATTGCGATTATTATTATCATTGGGTTTAGCAGTTTGTGTGCGAAAAACTTTATTTTTGTTTTGTTTACGAGTCTATTATGTATACCTCGTTATACAGTAGTTGTTTTGTACATTATTGAGTGCCCAGCGCTAGGGTTAGCGTGACTTATAATATGGCAATCAATTGAGTGGTGGATTAGTCTGTATTATTTTTTTCGGCCACTATTTTACCGGTGAGGAAGTGCTGAACAAATGATTTATAATTACTTCATCTGTATTATAGGTATATAATTAATTGCAAATACTATTCATGCGAATGAATGATGAGATTGCGAGAGAGAGAGAGAGAGAGAGAGAGAGAGAGAGAGAGACTACCGATGCTCTGAATATTTCATAACTTAATATGTTTTTTGCTTTTGATTTTTTACCTTAAATTTATACTAAACTTGAACTCCAGAAGTGAAACGAAAAATATTGTATAAAAAACTATTTATTCGTTTAATAATTAATAGTTATATAATGTTTTAAAAGTAGTTTTGTATTTAATAAAACTGCCCGAGAAATAAGCTACCGGTGCTTTTTGTATACTGTAGTGATTATGTATGTGTGGGCACAGGTAGTTTCATTATCTCAACGATAATGGAGTAAAACAAACGATAGCAATGAACCACTGGTTGGGGTTCATGTGAATCCATGATAATATTCATACCAGAGAGAGAGAGAGAGAGAGAGAGAGAGAGAGAGAGACTGAGAAACTTTTTAAACATAAATATTTGCATACTTTATATGGAAAAGGCATTCAAATTGTGTGCAGAATTTAGTTATAATATTTTTGTTTAGTTGAACAGTAAATAATGTATTGATAGTAATAATTGATTGCAATCGCTATATGTATTTATGCATTATATTTGTTGTTCACTGTATAAACAGTGGGAACAAAAAATATTTTCTCTCTCTCATACGTTATAATACTCTATAACTTAACGATTGATTAGAGGATTAGATGCTATGATTTGATGTCGAGATTGAGATGATGTGTGAGAAACGTCTTGCGCTTCACTTCACTGTATTTCATGATATGCTATGAGATTATAGCCAGTGATAGGCATAAGACGTTTTCACTCGACATTTTCAAATGTATTTTCACTTCACTTTTCATCGCTTTACTTCATAATCATCTCAAATGCCATTCAAATCAATTATCCAATTGTATTATTATTATATAAATTTCTCATTTCTTTCTCTCTCTCTCTCTCTCTCTCTCGCATTTGTTTGAAGAAATTTTTAATACAAAACTTTATTTATTTATTTTCGGACTTAATGTATTGAATAAAATAAAAGCATTTATTTATACAATGGGTTCACTAATGCCAAGAATGTATTTTTTCAAAAAGTTTTATTTTATTGTTTGTATTATTTTTTCAAATAGTGATTACTAGTTATCCCTATTCTCCCTCTCATTTATATTCCCTGTATTTCAAACTTTTGTTACTCTTTTTCACTCATTAAATTGAATTGAAAATTGATTGCGATTTGCATTTAATTAATTTTCACGAAAATAATTATGTGTTTCAAAAAATACTTATTCATGATTTGCTCAATCAATTGGACGGCAATTTGTTTTGCTGTTATTTTTTGATGAAAACATTTCTGGCAAACAATTTTATTTTGTTTCGGGAAATCTCTATGTATTACAAATCGTAATCACATTATAAATACATAACTCCTATTATATACGGTATTTGTAAAGGGATTTCAAATATTAATTTATAAAAAACTTAATAAAATGCCAACAAAACAACAAAAACGATGCAATCATTTACAAATTCATACGCCGAGCGCAACTCAACAACAAAATTATTATTATAATTATAATTGAAATTAAAAATTCAATAATTATACTAATATTTTCTTTCACACCATAAATGAGAAACAAAATCCAAATCACGAGTTTTGCAGCAAAATTTGTTTCTGTGTCCCAAAAAACAACAACAAAATACATTGAAATTCAAACAAAATTGTAGACCGGGTTGAAAGGAGTTGAGCATAATTGTTTTTAAATTTTTAGTTTTAAATTATGTAGATGTTTTTGCTCTATGAATTAATATTTATTAATATATACATCTGAATGACTGGTTGATGTACTTGTGTCTGCCGATTGAGACTATCCATCCATTAGTTTGTTATTTTTGGTTAATATTAATGATTGAGTTGTTATATCATGTAATACTCAATTTTGTCCCACAATCTCTCAGTCTCTCTCTCCCTCTCCCTCTCAAAGTAACACTCATTAGAATATTTCAAATTTTTTGTTACAACTAAAGGAGTCTCTCTCTCTCTCTCTCTCTCTCTCTCTCTCTCTCTCTCTCTCTCTCAGTCTCTCTCAATCCTCACACGACATCGCGATTAACCTATCGGTCAACGTATAACTTATGCAACGGCTCTATTCAATGGGGGTATCCTATGCTAAAAGGTATGCGCGGCTCAGGTATGTGTGCTATTAATGCAGGTATGAGAGAGAGAGAGAGAGAGAGAGAGAGAGAGAGAGAGAGATAAAGTGCTCTTAACGTATAAATTGATGGGAAATAAATATGTGTCGTATAATCATGAGCTTGAGGTTTGCATTCACCGTATTTTCTGAAGTTATATAAGTGTGAGAGTTGTTTAGAGAGGGAGGGGAACGGTAGGCAAGTGGGGGTCGGGTTAGATAGAGACCTACACATACGGTAATAAGGATATTGAAAGACAGATGGGGTATCGCAGGTCCTTATGAATTAATATTAGATTTATTTATAAAATATTTAACGCAATGTAAAAGAAATTTTAAAATATTTTGCTTTAAATTGTGTCAAAATTGCAATATTTTAAATATATTTGACTCAAACTCTCTAAGATTTCTGCATAAACTGAGATTAAGGGGCTTACTGGGTATACAGGGGTGTATATTGACAATAATGATATAAAATGAGCATGGTTATTCATTCTTACCTTATTGACTTCGTTGACATTGGCGAAAGCGCTCAGTAGTATCCGTACGACCCCTGCGTGTCCATAACGGGCGGCGCTATTGTGTGTATGTTTTATAATGTAAACCAATGTCCGGATCAGTGATGAGATGGTAAATGAGAGATAGATTTTGTAATTCGTTGAAATTAATCGTAATTTATATTCAAATTTATGGTTTAAATTTTTTTGTGTGTAATTTTAAATCCCAAAAACTATTTTTAGTTAATAATAATAATCGTATAAAATTCTCATGTCTTTAGGAAATAAATATCATTTCTTTGTGTATGTGTTTGAGGGCACAGACAGTCACTATCCCGAGACCCTCCCTGTGCTGTGTGTATACATCCATACATATTATCCCTGACCTCAAGAATTAAACCCAAGACTTCTCGGGACTGTTGTCTCTCTTAATCCGGAGATATATATTAGACTTAAACGAAATAAGTTTTTTTCTTTACGGATAATACATATGATATATAAATACTGTATATTTCTTAATACTATGTGTTTGACATGAAATACATGTATAAATGGTTTTGACACTACTTTCTAAAGGCAGTTATGTTCACAATAAATGTCTATTTAATGTTATACACCGTATGCACATAACTTAATATTATTATAATTATTTTATGTATACCTAAATATCTATATAAACCGCGAATTACAGATTATAGTATCGCTCTCTCATCTTTTATAGATTTTAACTATACTGTAACTTTTACTACT